TCCACGTCGAACACACCTTGCACGAGTGGCGCAGTGGCAACCACATCCCAAGAAGAGAAAATCGTCTAAGTCCACCCAATGAGGAAACAGCTTGCTTACTAAGTGTTTAGAAAAAAAAATCGTCCCGGGCGTTTGTCAATCGAAATAAACCTTGAATGACCATTGATCAATCGGAACTTGTCTTGTCCATCTGCTTCTACCCACCAAGTTGTCTCATTGCTTCGCTGACTCGTCTTATGGCGCTGCCATTTGACATACCAATCAGAGCCATGTAGCCCTAGAGAGTCAAAGCCAAATAAGTTTCGTATGGAAAAGAAATGGGATTTATTTCAAAATAAATGATTTTCTGGTCTTTGGGCTGCTATGGCATCCACAGGAAGCGTATGAACACAAGAGCACCCTCGTTTGATCCGCAAAAATTTAGCGCTTCTGCTGTGCTTGATTTGAAACGCACAGCAGACAGAATCGCCGAGCACGACCCGAAATACTGACTGCCAATTAATCGCACCTGCCTCAATCCCAAGAGCAATATGTTGTTACAAAAAGGGAATACATATGTTACTTTCAAGGAGGTGACCGAACTATCCCGCTGAACAACATATTAAGGTACATTCGAGTTGGGGGTAGCAACAACCAAGCCTTTTTTTGGTTTGGCAAAGCGAGAAGGAGGGGGGAGCTGAGCTGAGCTGAGGTTGTTCTAGTTGAGGTTGGTCCAGGAGAGTTGGAAAATGCGCCCCGAGCTGTTTCAGCTCCAACAAGAAGTGGAAGTGGTGGGGGAAGGCGGCACAAGCGGGGGCTCAAGCGGGGGGGCCTCAAGCAGGGAGCTGCGCTGGTTTGGACGTTGGGTCGTGGTGGTGGAAGAGCAGCGGGCCGTCCCAACCAACGCGAAGGGGCGAGCGGAAGGGGCAATGCGGGTCCTACTGCAGGGGGTGAAAACGCTGTGGGTTTGGGTGGGTGATTCATGATTTGCGTCACTCAAGCCAAACCTTTGAGCAAGGATGATGAAGATCTGTCAGGGTTTGGTCGCGATGGCGTGGTAACGTTTACCAAGCCAATGCGTATTACCAGCTTTTGTGTCGGGGGTCCACCTAAAAGGAAAGACAAGGAGGAGGTGGATGGTGGGGGTGGGACCCAATGGTATTCGCAGTAAACTGGAAAGAAGAAAGACTGACTTGCTTGGTTAAGCAAACGTTTGTGTTGATGTGTGAACCTGTACAGGTCGAGGGAGCGGACAGGCCACAGGATGATAAGGCTCACGATCAGCACAGATGTGGAGAAGCTTGTCGCTCTGCTTGGGGCAGGACAGCTTACGTCAAGCCGACGCTGTTGGTTTGGCACGTTACTATAGGCTTGCGTGCCAGCAACCCAACTCTTTCCGAAGAACATCGAAAGAAGGATATTGCTACGTGTATTGACGTTTGCAGGATGCTTTTTCCTTCTCACCCCAATGGGCTGGCGATGAATGACGTAAGGCACGATTGCACTCTTAGGGTAATTGGGGTGATCGCACCTCGTCCCAAACGTGCGGATGTGGCCCTGGGCGATGAGCATGACACCTGCCAAGTCATGTTTTACTAAACACCTCGTGTATGTATGCTGACTCGAACCCTTCGCCAACCAAATTCCTGAGTAGTCGAGATTAGGTTGTCCCTGATTATCGCGCAAAGCCGGAGAGCGCATGTGTTCGTTGGCGGTCATGCCATACTGCGCCAAGAAAAAACGAGTGTTGATCAATTCACAAATCGCCTCATCGTTTTTTTTGGGGAAGCATCCCAGATTTGGTTGAACCGATGATGGCTAGGCACAGTCCGACGCCTTGCTTGGATCAAAGAACTGCACAACCGCGAAGCGACCGATAGTCATAAAGTTGGGTTCCTGGGCTTGTGCCTCGTCAACCTGTGGGAAAAAAAGCTCCAGCGCCATGAGCCACCGGCTACCAGCCAAGGCACGAAGAGCCCTCCTGCTTGAGATCGGCAGGTCTAGGAAAAACCAATACAGATTCCGCAACCTCGCACACACCCCTCGCAGTTGGATATGCAAGACAACAAGAATTGTGGGACCTGGCGGCTGCCTGCCTCGATTACCCCTTTTCGCTTCGTCGGAAGTCGATGTGCGACACACGAATAAAATCGGCAGAATGACGCCAGACATACGCAAGAAAAGCCCGATTCACATTGACACCATCGTGGTGACACAACTGACCTTGTCGGCTGTGAGACCAGCCACCGTGTTGCACTTGAGTGCGCGCAGCGCACACAACGGGGCCGGGCAAAACCCTTGTAGTGCTTTCGAAAAGGGCGTCGTCGGTGACCAGGCCCGGTCCCCCACCAGCTTGCGATAGTTGAGATCCCCCTTGAACAGGATCAGCTGGCTTTGGCCCAGATCACTTTTGTCAATGATACACGCCCATGAGCCAGCGCGGTTCACAGTGGCTCAACCACAAGCAGGCGAGCACCAGAACATGTCCATTTGAAAATAACCCCAATCATCTACCTCCAACCCTCTTCGCGAGAATGCCCTTTTCATGTAGCCGTGTGGCGCTTGGCGCTTTTCGTCCTGCTCGGGTTGCGTACCTGTAGAGCTGTGGACGAACCTCGGCCATTTGGTGAAAAGCATGCGGATACGTCCAAAATTCATCCTACCAGCCAGCGACATGAGAAAAAACATGGGAAGGACCTCTCTTTTCAAAATTGGTTGGGTAAGGGAAAAACACACACAGTGCCACCAGGGCAGCTGCGGCGAACCCTACGACCCGTCATGCCCTGACCAGCCGTGTCACGAAGCGACTTTGCAAGGCTCTGATCATGCCAGATCATAACAAAGGGCTCAGTCTGACCATCGGCCTGGCCAATGGCATGCGCGTTGGGGACCCAAGCATCAAATCCAGGGACCCAACCTTACCGCGGAAAATTGCCAGGTTCCATCTCGAATGAAACGTTTCCACTGAAGGGCCAAGCACTGCAATGCAGATCCGGCTACGCAGCACGTTTGGGCGCTTGTGAATGGACTTGTCCACAAGTGGCGTCACTCGAACTCAATAGGCTGCTGCATTTTCTTGAAGCGTCAAAGCGCTGCAGTCGCAAATGCTCAGGGATGCCGCAGCTTTGGGCCACGGCGAACGCACCTGGCTGGCGCCCGAGCTCGTTCAACGTCCAGACAAGGTCTGATTCTGTCACGTCGCTTACAAACCACGGCATGGCTTTGCCATGGAAGTGAACTGTGCTCGCATAGCCCCCCGCTGTCATCCAATGTGCCAAGCACAAGTCTGTGAAAAGCTAAGGCAAGACCGACACCATCACAAGTCCATCAAAACCAAGGCAGACTCACGCGTGCTGTGCCCCAGCAAGGCGAACGGGCAGATGAGGAATGGAGATCACACAACAGTCCCCTCACCTCAAAGCCACTATTGTCCAGCACCACATCGATCCGAGCGCCCGCTAGAGTCGACAAGCTTAGGGAAACAGGCAACACACCGCACCATGACAGATGTGAGAAAGCAAGAGAGCGCAGCGCGTGGTTTTTTTTTTGTTTTTTTTTTGTTTTTTTGGGGGTTTTTCTGATGTATCAACTTGAAGTACTCGCTCGTGTCAGAGGCACAATAGCCCGAAACAAAGTGTGCGGTCAAGTCAGCAACGGTCGTGCACTGATCTGACACATACCGGTCCCAGACGTCCTCAAAGTCATTTTGCAGGATGAAAGAGCGCAGCTCCTGTAAATGAGCCTCTGAACCCGCCTGTGACAGACTCATAATGCGGACTTGAGTCAGGACCACAGGCCTGGTGTTCACCTTGTGAGCTCTGCTCTCTACAATCATTGTTACACACACCTGAAGATGTGACAGGGAGGTGCGACCGTCGAACTCAGCCATGAGCGATAAGTCACTTTTGTTGCCCCACAAGGAAAACTGCAAGCCAGTGCAGCACACACACACACACACACAAGCACAGGAGCAAGCCTGTGAGTTTTCGGAACAGGAGGCCATAAGCCCACGCAGATCACTGCTTGAATAGCAAGTCGTCTAAACCTGCAGCATCACTTCGAAGGCGTTCCGGCGCGACGCCTGGTCAGCCAGCGCCTCTGGATCCACCGCACGAAGGGTAAACGCGCCCAAAGCTTCCATGCTCTACAACGCAAAGAGCAGCCGCGGGTGTGACTGCTGCGCATGGTGAGCAAGTACAGTGAAAGCACACGCGCGAGCTCACACCTCCATCGAGCAGGCAAACGCATCGTCCTTGGCTTCCTGAAAGACGTCCATGTCAGCCAGCAGCGGCGCCTGGGCACACGCCTGGTGGATACGACGATACATGTAGCACTCTGACAGCAGCCAGGGTGCATGCCACCACCTACATGCTCACACGCAAAATGGAGGGTAGCCGATATCCTCTGTGAACAAGATGCAGGCGAACGTGTACAAGTTTCCGTGTGCAGAACCCATACCGCGGAGGTTCGCCTTCGGGGCCCATTGCCTCCTTCAAAGCTTGATTCCAGGCGGCTTGGTCCGAAGCTCCATCTTCAATGGGAGGCATGGGTTTGCCAGTCTTTCCGGGAGCATTCCAAACAGACGCAGCAGATGAGCTGCCCAGATAGCAAAGTGATGCTTGGCGATGGTGAATGTAGCGAGCTAACCTGCATCTCATATTTGAGCTTACTCAAGATGCCAATGGCACGGCGCGCGCTGGCCTCCTGAGACAACAGAGAGCATCCAGTGAGGAAAAGGTGGTCCCAAACACTTGGCAGCAGAACAGCCGAGGCCTTGCCTCGTCATCGGTCGCCGTGCTCGCGTCAGGCGCATGCAGGCGCCGGTACATAAAGTCAATCGCCTTGGTCAAGATTGTCGGCATGCGCACACGCAGCGTGTCCTCTCCAAAGGCCCCGTATCCAATAAACGTCAACGCCGGTGCCTCCTCGACCGCCTCCGTCTCGCTCGCTGCCATGTTTTGAATGTTGTGCCCCGAAGAAAAAAAAAAAAAACATTACAGTCACCGAGGGTATTTGTTACCTTTGGACATTTGTTACCAAAAATAAATTTTTTTTCCGTTCATTTTTCCCTCTGTTGGAGGCTGGAGCTGTCTGGCAAGGAAGATAAACGGCAGCGCCCTGGTGGCCACTCGATCAATCTTCATAAATCAAAAGGTGGGATACATTTTTTACCCCATTAACTATGGTTGAGCCAGTTTTCGAATGCTCATCTCCTTGGATTCCGCTGATATGTGGCTGCCATTTCGGGTCATCCCACCTCGGCTGGCAGTCGGCCGGCATGCGGCATCGCCGGGGTAAACAGGCATGTACAGGGGTTGCAACGGCCGGGCATGATGAAAGCCGGGTTTGTCAAGGATATTGGTGCGCCTTGGAGTTGAAAATCGCTTCACTGTGTGACTCTTTGGTGTTGGAACGTTGACATTTCCCCGCATACAGCTGACAGTGGTATTTGTGCCTATAGGCCGAGCGTCGAGCCAAGGCAGATCGTGTATCCCAACTCCTACGTCAGCTCACGGCGAGTTCGATGACTTCCATTGAAATTCAGCAGTATTTAGAGGTTGATGGCCTTCGTCAATTGACGCGTCAACAACTTGGCAGCCTGGTCAACCCTCTTACGAGCGCCAGTGCCCGAAGGGGGCGCCCCAATCGATCCGACGGGCTTCTGAAGCTGTACGGTATCACCAGAGCCGATCTTGTGGCTGCGCAACGGCGGAGACAGCGAGGCATCCAACCTCATGACGGCAGGCGGATTCTTCTGGCGCATGAGCGTGTAGCTTTGACAAACTGGCTAGAGACCTGCAGTGAGAAGCGTGCGTGTAAGAGCCGTGGCATGATCGTGGAGGTTGTGTGCGAGCTTCTTGAGATTCGTCGCAGTGCCCGAGAGGACGCACTCAATACGAATAGCGAATTGCTTGATCGGATTCCCACACTCAGCTCTGCTGAGCTTGCTCTTCTTGCTCGTCATCAAGAGGCCGAAAGCTCGGACAACCCCATGAGCCAGGCGCGTTTGAGCAATGACTGGTTTCGAGGATTGGAGTCCGACTCGAACATTTATCTTACCACCGCGGTGACTCAGAATCCAGCAAGAGTAACAGCCGCAACAGCTGAGGCTTGTACACGACATTTTTCGAGTCTTGACGAGCTCTTGGCAGACCTTGACTTCGTTCATCGCTCAGGGCGTCATGCTGGCATGATCAAAACCAACTGTAAGTTGACTTTCCTAGACAGCGCGAGCGCTGCTGCCTGTCTACGTCTGCATGTGCTGCAAACATACTTTTGTATCCTCCTGATGCATGTCTGTTCTTATTCATGCCGGCCCCAGGTCTTGGCCGTATCTTATGGGTGGATGAGATGCCTGGTCTCCGCGCCGAATTCACAAGGAATGTCAAGGTGTATTCCTCAGCCGACCGAACTGTAGATCAAGGGTGTCTTCCCGGACAAACCTACAACGCCATTCACGGCAGCTAGTTGGAGAGGCAGCCACCCTCGACGAGGAATTGTGTGCTCTTTATTTTGCCATCCACTTTCAAAGCAGTCAAGTCAAACGGGTACAGGCTGCCTTCCGCCATGCAGGCATTACGCGCTTGGAGCGAGCTGTTAGACACATGAAGAACCAACCCTCACACGTTGAACCTGAGGATACAGCAGTGACGCCTCCGCAAAGCCCGGCAAGCGCGCCATCTGGTTCAAGCACTCCGAGGTCAAACACAACGCCGCAGCCACTGGTATGGGTTTGGGACGCCAATTGGAGTCTTGATGAAGGCCGGGCGCACTTCGATCGTCTGGCTGCGAGTTTTTCGCGCCTTGAAGAGCGTCATCAAGATATGATTCGCTCAACGCCGCGTCAGCGCCGCCTACTCGATCGCATCACGCCTCAAGAGCGGTCACGACGGCGACGTGCCTCCATTTTTGGGCCAATGTCATCGGGGCCAAGCGCCGCAGATCTCGAAGGGCGTGAGCGGCGCCGTGTTCATCTTCATGCGTCGAGGGAACGACGAGCAACAAGAGTGGCAAATGAAGCTGATCTACGTGCTGCTTTAAACGTACAACGCATCACGATTGCCAACCTGAAAAGTTTCTGTCGATCGCACTGCCTCGGCACGACTGGCAGCCGTGCCGAGCTTCGCACGCACAAGGACACAACTCGATCTCCCACAGCCCCCAGCCACTCCCTCATCGCCAGGCAGGCCAGTTGGGGAGGTATTCGAGCCTTTGGCAACCTCTTTGGCGCAGATTGAGTCCCGAGAGGACGCCGAGCTTACCCCCATGCCCGCGTCTCCGCCGCGTGATGACCGAAATTCACTTCCCTCAGATTCAACCCCGCCCACTCTTACAGCAGCATCAGCAGCACCTTCTCTTGACCGAATCGTTGAAGAGGAGCCTCAAGAACCTATTGCGCGTGTCGGAGGTCACTTTGCAGACTCCGATCTCCAGTTTTGGCTCCGAGACTATACCTCTCAAACTCAACCATTTCAGGACGCAACAAGCCCTGAATCAAACGCGCCAGCCGCGCCTCTGGCCAGCTCAAATATAGACCAGAATGAAATTGATTTGCTCATCAAGGCTTGCGACGCGAGTACCAAAAAGTACAAGGCGTATATCGACTCACTGATTGCACTAGAGCCCCATACTTCCACGTCTTAAAAATAACACGAATTGAACCTTATTTATTACAACCGCCACCACTGCACGAAAACCCACTTTTCTACTGATTTTTCTCGCCCTACCTAATTGAGCATCTTTGAAACGCTGGTTGCCCAAGCCTCCCTGCACCACCGTCCCCGATAGACGAGAAACGTCGTGTATCAAGTTCTCACAAGTTCCAGAGCAGGCACGTCCTATAGAAGAAACAAAACAATAATATAACTCGTGATGTAGGGCAGCTACGCTCACAAAATGGCATCTGACAAATTCAACAGATCTGCGCGGTTCGAATCATCCCAATTGGGCTGAGATCTGACCACAATCAACGCCGACCGCCATCCAACAAATCACCCCTAATAGGTGCGACCTCCTCTCCAACAACAATTTTTGACAACATTTGAAAAATTTATTTTTGGTAACAAATGTCCAAAGGTAACAAATACCCTCGACTGTATTGTCAGCAAAAAAATCGGTTGAGTCTCTGGGGAAACTCGAGTACTGGAGGAGACTGTAACTTCAATCTGTGTGTGGATAAGGTTACACTCTGATGACCACGACATCGGACAGGAGAGTGGGACTGGTTAACACTTGGTAAGTCGAAAATACACCGCCCTGCAAGCTGGTATAACGGACTAGTAAGTAAAAAACTTCACGTTACACTCTTTCCGTTGTTGACATTTGAGTTTTGTTTTTTTGCTTTTCTTTCTTTTTTTTTTTTGGTTCACCATCAATAACCAAAACGATGGCGGCCCTGGTACGATCTGGATCCCGAGCCCAGTGGCTGTGTGTGGTCTTGTATCTGTTGAAGCGCGTTGATACCCCTGTCTTGTGCGGGATCTGGAAAAGATCGGCAGCACGAGCATGGGTGGCATCATTCGCATGCCCACAACACACACACACACACACAACGGGAAGCATCAAGAAGCACACCGCTCAAAACGCGATTGGAGCCGGCAGCTGCGCTCACCTCCCTCGTATTGATCTTCTCCGCAGAGCAAATCTCTGGCCTTGACGCGCGCCTTGCCGGCCACTGCGTCCATTCTCGCCCGTCGCACCGGTAAGAATGCCCCACGCACCACGCCACAGGGACACAACTGTGCAAGTTATCATTTACATGTGGCCACTGGCAATGCATCATGTTTTGTCCATGCTCATCACCGTTCGCATCCCGCCGTAGTCTATGTGATGAGCCCTCGCGACAACTTCATGTCGGTACGTAGCTGCAGCTCATAAGCTACCCCTTTGCTTACCTTCTGCCCCGATTGTGCTTTCCCCTTATGGATCGGGCCCCCGACTGCCACTCAGCCCCCTTGTTTCTCGTCTTGGACGCTTGCTCTTTTGTGCCTGCACGTGCCGGCCGTTGTGTTTGCTTCTTCCGCCATGAACTGTTTTGCTTTTCCCCTCAGGATTACCAGTTGACGCTGCCCTCGTTCACTCGTCGTGCGGAGCAACTCTTTGGCCACAAGACCGTCACCAGCGATTGTGTTCGTGACCGCTACCCGCTGCCGTTGGGTTAAATTGTTTTGTGTACTTTGCGTTTTGTGTGTATTGGTGTTAGATCGCTGGTTTGCTGTCTGCCTGCCATCTGCCTCCGTCTGCCTGCCTGCCATCTGCCTCCGTCTGCCTTTGATTGTCATTCTTGCAATGGTTCCAAGGCCTGTGAAACGCACTGCACAGTTGACAAACTCCTGGGGGGACAAAGACACCAGTTTATTGGTTCTCATTGAACACTGAATGCCATTTTTGTTGCCTTAGGGTGATCGCGTGGACGTCACCACCTATGCCGACTACGTGAAGAGCTGCCGCAAGGTCAGTTCTTTGCGGCGTGCTCAATGCTCCTCCGCATTTGAAGTGCTGTTGAATACCTCTTGTCTCACGGCTCCCTATGTTGGCTGTCTCAGGTCGGTGGCATCCTCGAGGAGCTGGGCATCGGCCAAGGCCATCGTGTGGCCTCTTTCGCCTGGAACAAGTAAGCTTGCGGAGGGGCTTTCCTTGAACAGAAGACACAAAAGATTGAGCATCGCGATCTTTGAGGGATTTTCCATTTGTCAAAGAATACTGTGCCTCATCTTATCCTTGCTCGCGCGCGGCTCAGCATCAACCACCTCGAGCTGTGGTATGGCGTGCCTAACGCCTCGCGTGTCCTGCACACGTTGAACATTCGCCTCTTTGCTGAGCAAATCACCTATGTAGTTAACCACGCCGAGAACGAGGTACGGCGAGCAGAGAGCTCTTACACGTTGTCACCGCCCGTTGCCCGCCTCGACCAAGGGATGCGCTCCGCCTGTTGTCACTGGGGATGATGCGTGTGTGATCAGGCCATCTTTGTGGACAAGTCGCTCTTCAAGCTTCTCTGGCCCCTGGTCGACACCTTCAAGACGGTATGCACGCCCGTGTCAAGCTCATCCTACACGGCTGGCTGATCATTTTCGCTGCGCCTCATCTACGCGTATTTCATGGTACCGTCGAATTCTTAGGTCAAGCACATTATTGTGATGGATGATGGCGTGCCCGGTGACCTGCCCGATGACCCCCGCATCCTCAACTACGAGGAGCTCAAGGCATCGGTTCCTGAGGTGGAATTTGACGTCAAGGATGAGCGCATGCCGGCAAGCATGTGCTACACCAGTGGCACAACCGGTTCGTGCTTTGATAGGCAGTCTGCATGGCTTTTGTGCGGGTGGCCATGTGCGCTCGTGGCCGTGCTCATGTGGAGGGTGCCCCGTGATCCTCACCGCTTGCACGCGCTGCCCATGCGTGCTCGTTGCTATTCAGGCATGCCCAAGGCCGTTGTGTACACGCACCGCTCCCAGTATCTGCACACGATGGGCATCCTGAGCGCTGATTCCTTGGGTGGTAAGCCTCAGTCCCGGGCAAAATGCCCACGGCGGTCCGAGCCTCGCGCTTGACTCCGCCGTACCCCTTCTCACCCAGACCTCCCAATTGTACCCACACAGTGCGCGAAACGGATTGCGTCCTGCCCGTGGTGCCCATGTTTCACGCCAATGGCTGGGGTCTGCCCTTTGCGGTACGGTCAAATTTTGGCCGCTTTGTTGGTTTCGTGCCTCATCAGCTTCATGGGCACGGCCATCCTCACCTGCTATTGAGGACCGTGTCTAGACTGTGGCCGTCGGATCTGATCTCGTTTTCCCCAGCCGCAACATGACCCCCAAGCATCTGGTACGATTGTGTCTATCGCTCTATGCCGCGACCAAGGAATTCGACTGCAAAGCCTGTTGAATGACATTGCGCACAAAGCACCATGTGCCCTCACGCCCAATGACCGGTGTTTCAGGCCATGTTGATGGAGAAATACAAAGTGACCATTGCCGCTGGTGTACCGACCATTTGGATGGGTGTCCTGCCCGAGCTGAAGGGCCGGTATGTGCCCGCTGTCTCCCCTTACACCTTTCTTCACTCTCGCACGTTTTCCCGTCTTCATCCGTGCTTTTCAATTTTTTTTTAAGCTCGTCCTTAAAGCCCTGGTCTTATGTAATCTGCTCACCGTACTGGCGTGTTGCACCTGCGCCATATACTCAGTGATCTGTCAGCGCTCCGTGGCATTCCCGTGGGTGGCAGTGCCGTGCCCCTCTCGTTGTCCAAGGCATACGAAAAGGCCACGGGCCTGCCCATCATGCAGGCCTGGGGTATGACCGAGACTTCACCCCTGGGCAGCGTGTGCTCCATCTCAAGCAAGCACGCAAACGCACCCCAGGAGACGATTGACCATCTTCGGCAGTCCATCGGTTATCCCGTCGTCGGCGTGGACATGCGCATTGCTAATCTTGAGACGGGCGAGGACCTCCCCTGGGACGGCGAAACTACGGGTGAATTGGAGGTGAGACAGGCACTGCCACAGCAATATTCTTGCTTCGGTTCGGCATGAACATTTCATTGGACAGTTTTCTCACATGCTTGTTCGACTCGGGCTTTCAGGTCCGCGGACCTTGGATCGCTTCGAGCTACTACAACCCAGATCAACCAGCAGATAACTTCAAGGCTGATGACTGGATGGCCACGGGCGATGTCGCCGCCATCTCTGAGGATGGGTGCGTTGTGTTGTTGAAGCAACCTTTTGTTTGATGGGAACGCCTTTGCGTCCCGGTATCTTTTATTGATCAAGCCTCTCACAAGCCACCTCACATGATCTGCAGTTACGTCTACATTTCGGACCGCTCCAAGGATTTGATCAAGAGCGGTGGTGAATGGATTGGTTCGGTGGAAGTGGAGAACATTATCATGTCACACCCCAAGGTGAAGGAAGCCGCCGTGGTCGCCGTTCGCTCCAAGCGTTGGATGGAGCGCCCGATGGCGTGCGTGGTGCTCGCGGACGATGAGGAGCTTACTCACGAGGAGCTGATTGAGTTTTTGGAGCCTCGCATGGCCAAGGTTTGTCTGCTTCCGGGATTGCTTGCTCGGTTTTTTTTTTGTTTGTTTTTTTGTTTTTTGTTTTTTTTTTTGTTTGTTTTGTTTTTTTGTTTTTTGTTTTTTGTTTTTTTCAGTGGAAAGGTGGTGGGGCTTTGGGAGTTTCGAAGAAGCAACGGCTGAGGCCACTTGGATGAGGCGGTCAGGGAGGCTGGGTTCCACATCACTTAAAGCGAAATGTGATATCGCTATAACATTGTCGGGATCTTGCGAGGGGTGCTGTGTTGGGTGGAGTTCAATGTTGTTCAGGACGCTGTGGCCTTGCAATGTGACGCCGTGGAATTCTCACCATCATTTTGTGCGTGATTGCTTTTGCCGCAGTGGTGGCTGCCCGATGTGACCGTCTTTGTGGACGAGATTCCAAAGACCTCGGTTGGCAAGTTTTCCAAGAAGGATTTGCGCAAGCAGTTTGAGCACGTTGTTGTGGCATAGGCGATCCTGACCACTCATTGCGAAAACGCGGTCCTGACTGCTGGCTTCACGTTGGAATGAGCAGTGGCGTCGGCCCCTCGCTATCATCGTGACTTTGCCTGTCTCTGACCATTAGAGATGTCGCTCCGACGAGAGAATCAACTTTTTCAGGGGAAGGGCCGGGGGCAGGGTCGGGTCAAGACTGGCTCCCTTGTTTGGCGCGCGTCTTTGTTCGAGGCATGCCACAATCGAGTTGTCTATCCACTTGATGTTTTCTTGGCCCTAGTTCTAAGCCATCAAAGAAGAACAGCAGGTGTGATGGGGGTAAATGTATGTCTTGAGAATGTCAGACATTTTGGTGTGTTGGAAGACCCTCAACGGTTTACTACAAATGTGACAAATCACCAATCCTTTCGGCATAACATCAAGTGCGTGTTCGGGATAAATGCGAACCAACTGCGCAGATACTTGGGATAGAATGTTTTTTTGTTTTGTTTTTTGCTTGCTTGAGAGTGCGTGGTGTCGGCGTTGATGTGAGTAGTGCGCGCCATGGCGCAGAGGCCATCGATTCGCAAGAATACGCAGGATGTAAAAGTTGGAACTGGTGAATGGCTTTGAGAAGCTTGTTCACATCAAGCCGCTGGACAAGAGCCAGACATGATGAGATGTTGGGTCATGTCATTTCGTCAAGACAAACCAGAAATCGCGATGTGGCGAATTGTTGTGGTTGTGGTAAACCCCAACGGAACGGTGGAATACCGTAACAAACAAGGTTGTTCGACTTGTTTCTCTACTTCTACTAAGTGGAGGTGTAGGGACCTGGACTTGGCTGGTCCCAGCTGGCTTTTGTGGCATTTTTCTGTTGCTTTGTCAAGACGAGCACGTTGAGTCGGCCGGCTGCATCGATTCATAAGTCACTCGACTTACTACGTATTCAAACGGACATACTCTTGCCGCAATGAGCTCAAGTGAGCTGCGCCGGCGGGCAGTCCGCCGTCCCGCTTCCCAGCCACAACCGGGTGTTGCAACCCTGGGCGATGTCGTCCGCCACGCCTATGTGAAGAACATGGCCTTGGACACGGACAAGTGCCCCTTGGGGCGAGCTGTTGTTCAGTCGCGCTTCTGGCGTCACTTACAACACACCTTCTTCCAAGATCAGACCAAGGCCGTGCTCTTGGAGAACATGACTGTAACAGAGTATGAGCAGTACCGACACCAACGTCAGAGCGCAGCCCGCTGCCCTCACACGACTTTACAAGTGACCACTATCACTGGCTCGCAAGAAAGGTCTCCACCCCACACGGGCTCGGATCGAATGGTAACGCGACATGCTGACTCGTCGATTGCCAAGCCCAAGATGGCACCCCAAATTAGCACCCCCACAGAGACCAACATCAACCCCAAGCAAACTGTTCGTCGCCGGCGCGCCAGCAGCGAGCCAGTGCCCGTGCAATTCGTGCACCAGACTCACTTCGACGAAGGCAGCCTCAGCGCCAAAAAGCTCAAGGCCCAGCACCACAGCTATCCGATCACGGATATTTCGCAGCGACGTCAAGTCACAGCGCTCGCTCTTGAACTTTGCTGTTCCGTCCCGGCATGCTAGGTCTCCAGCTCATGCTACCCGCTTTCTGTTTGAATGTTGTCTGTCAAGGATGTGCCATAGTATGTTTGCTCCTTCCCCTACTTGTGTTTATTCTGAAAGAACCTCCTCCGTTTTTCCTCATTTTATTGACGCCTATGGCTGCCCTGCCTATTGCATCTGTCTGTTTGTGCTGTCTTGTGAGTATCTGGCACTAGCTGTAGCGGCCACATCTGCTTGCTTTACCAATATCCAACCTTTAACCGCAGCCCGCAATTGAATAGTCGAATAGTGTTTTTTTGCCAATGATGTTCATCGAGAGATGGATCAAGGCACGTCATGCTCTGGTTTGCCAACGCTGTGCGCAGACCACCAATCTGAGCTATGGAAAAGCCCGCAGACAAATCAAAAGTCCACAAAGTGTAAAGCTGTACACTCAAACAGCTCTGACAGAGCTGCAGTCCTTGATTGGTCACGGCAGGTGCGACATGCGCACGTCAATGTTACGTTCCCTCTTGGCCGCTGCCGTTGTAAGCCAGCACAAGCTGGCTTGTATTCTTACGTCACCATTGTCAAAACATCAACAGAAAGCAACGCAAAACCCCGTGCATGGATTGGCCATGGGGTTGGGACTTGAGTGTGTGACCCTACCAGATCGGATAGATGGCAGAAAGAATCGATTTTGGCATAAAGTAGTGTGCATGTGGAACATGTCGATGGTCAAGGTCAATCTGGCCATGATGAACGACTACAATCCTATCCTAGCCCGTGTGGCTTGGCGGCTGATGGATTTCGCCGGGATCACTCAACTCGGCTTTGCATTCTTTCATCGCAGGTGCCATGTGCCATGTGCCATGTGCACGTGATTGGACAGATGCCTTTCCAAAATACCCATTCCCCAATCTCGGCGCCCCAAGCCATTTCGAACCCAAGAAGGAGCTACACGTGCATGTCGAGCACCAGATTGATCTATGAACGAACCCGCCTACAGACCTGTTGCGCCACGCCACCATCTCCCAACATTTAATGGATCCACCAACTCCCTTAACCAAAGGACGCCCACCCAACAGCAAGGACCACCACCAAGTACGTCAAGGTGAAGGAAGGATTTCACACCCATCGCACCCAACCCTACCAGCAGCCCCAATCTCAAACGCCGAACCTCGCACCTGCCTGCCATTCCCTCACCAAAAGATTGCACAGCAACCCACAGCCAGCAAGTACATACTTTCATTGGGTGGGTCCCCCCCATCATGCGCCAGCAATGGGAGTCTTCCTTCTGTTGGGGCGAAGACCCACCATAAACCATACCGGCCAAGGGAGAGAGAGAGAAAGAGAGAGAACCAATCTCTCAATCTCTCTCATTCTCGATCCCTCTCTATTTTTCCCTCGATCTCTCCCTCTCTATTTTTCTCAATCTCAGAATCTATCTCCAATCTCTCTCAATCTCTTTCAATCTCTCAATCTCACATCTCTCACATCTCGATCGGGACGGCATTTTCTTGCTCATCTCCTCTCTGTACGCAGCCCATCCTTCTCAGCCTGCCATCTCGCAAAAGACAGACTGTTGCAATGGCGACTTCACTTCTACCCACAGCCACCAACACCGTGGAGCACGGTTCCAATGGCCGTGTCCATGGCTGGCGCCGCCGCCGCTCGTCTGGTCTGCTGGCGCATGCTGGTCACGCCAACCGGCGTCAGAGCGTGCAAGGCCAAGATGCTCGTCGTGAGATGGTGCAGCGCTTACTGACGCTCAGTGCCTCTCAGCTACAGCAGAAATGGGCTCAACACGTCCGCTTGATGCAGATGGCCCAATCCATGACAATGCAGGCCGACCAGTCGCCCCAGCCTCTGCCACACGGACAGCAACAGCAACAGCATACCCCTCAACATCAGTCGCCACAAGCACAACTCCCACCCTCGCATCTCCAACACGAACAACGACAACAACTAATGCAGGCGCTCACTCAGCTGGTCGCTGCAGCCCAAATGAAGCAAGCACAGGCAGGACCGACCCCAGCAGCTACCATCCCGTCTGCCCCAATCGCCCAATGTCCCCACGACCTCTCACCCACAACCAGTGCTGAACACAGTGAGGATGAGGAGACCATCGCCGGTATGGCGTCAGTCTCCATCACCCCACGTCGTCGTTCCTCCTTCTTGAGCAGCAGCCTCGACCTCCGCTCCCGCAACACGTCAAGTAACCCCGCCCCTCATGCGCGTCGCTGGAGTTCTGCCGAATTGACCCTGGACTCGTGTGAGCCCGATTACACCCATCGCCGCAGCAAGATCCCATTAAACCCTCGCCGCATGCGCATGCGCCGCCGCTCCTCCAACACCATCGGTGTCGGTGCGGGTTTTTTGCGCACTCCTGCACACTAGAATCAATGCCCAGGCACGTCTTGAATGTTTTGCGTGTGGGTGTGTTTTGCAAGTTTTGCATAGGTATCTGTGTCTGTGTCTGTGTCTGTGTGTGATTCCAGTTTGCCGAGAGCAATTTGTTAGGCTACCAGAACGCCATCCCTCGCCGTGCTTTCCACCAGCTGCTGTGTAGCGGGCGAGCGAGCGTACAATTCAATGATTGAATACCCAATTCCCTATCGATCAATGCAAATGCACAAGCAAATGCAAAAGCAAAAGCGAAAGCACTTTGACGTCCCTTTTTGAATGGGCCTCGATTCATCATAGTATTCACAAGGGATGTACGAATGTTGTTCTTTCACGCTCAACTGCTCTCGGGGGAACAAGACGAACAGAAGAGCAAGCAGCTCTTTGAACGACCAAGCAGCGGCAGTACCAGGCTGCTCCAACCAATAATCTTAATCGTCGCAATGTATCATGCGCTTTCATTAGCTCGGCGATCGGACGGCCATGACCGAAGAGACAAACCTCATCTCCGCCACGATCGCTCGTGGGGCCGAGGGACGCGACCGTGCAGGGCATTGATGACATGATGCGGTGGCATGGGCTGTACGAATCGGCGAAAGCGGGGGCGTCGCTTCAGCTGCCGATAGCGCGGCACTGGTGGCACCTTGCTTCGTCGCTGTGGCATTGGTGTCGAGATGACCTGTGCTGTCGCGTTGCACAATGTCTGCCCCAATTGTGTGCGAACATGATTTGGCTGCTGCTGCTGCTGCTGCTGCTGCACCCTGGGGCAAGGCCAGTTGGGTCTGGACATGCTGGCAATCGACCGATTTGATCCATCAGAAGATTCGACGGCTGGTATCGCTTCCACCTCTGGCGCAGAGAGGCCACTCGATCTTGCGTTTGGCGCACCCTGGTTATATTGGCTGGAGCCCGCAAGATGAGCCAGACATGCTCGAACGGTCCAGGCTGCACAAGCACGATTCACCGCTGTCTCCAATTCTTGTCGGCGCCGCTCCGCGTCGGCAGAGCTTACAACGCGAGCTGAAGCAGTCACGTCCTGTGACACTAATGAGGCACGCCAAAGTCTTGTAACGAGGGGCAAGAGCCGTTGCATATGGTTGTTCGCAATTGTCATCATCCTTGCATTATCATCATTATGAGCATTATTCGTTGGCATAATTGGTTGATGCGCCTGAGCATTCAGGCTACCCAGCACCTCCGCCAAACTTGCCAGTGAACCTGGCACGCCAGAATCAGTTGCAGTCAAGGAGCACCGCTCATGCACGTCGCCAGATAAAGCCATCGCTTTGTCGACTCTGCTTGGAGAAAATGGACTTGAGCACGAGCGCGAACAGGGTCAGCACGAGCGCGACCCTGTTGTTTTTCAAGCGCGGGGTCGAGGTGCAGGGCCAGGATGCACTCTATGAAACCCGTGGGGTTCTCAGGATCAGCATCCTTTGCCCCGACACGATAGGACAAGCACCACCAAACATTGGTGCAATGCGCAAAGCTGATAAGCAGCCCACTTCACTTATTCGAGCATGATTTACATGTTAACACATCAAATCAGGAGCTCGACAGGGTTTGTGTGCGCGTGTGCTGTATCTGTCTGCCTTCCGCATTGCGTGAGCCAGAAGAGATTTATAGTGAAATAGTGCCGATTCATCAAAAGCCCCAACTGCATCTCAGCTCGAGAACTACTGAAGAATACTTTCAACGAGCATCTTTTAATATGGGCATGCTGATTGACCAAAAACTCCTGCACACCTGCGAGGATGCGCGTATGATCGAGCACGTAAACTTCACAGTCCTGACCGGTAGCATTTGCCTAAAGACTCGTCCTATGACAGCTTCTCAACTCCCTCAAGTCCCTCCGAACCCTCAGTACCCTCAGCACTCTCGATGCTTTCAGTACTCTCGATGCTTTCAGTACTCTCAGTACTCAGTACTCAGTACTCTCAGTGCTCTCAGTACTCTCAGTGCTCTCAGACTCTTTCAGAAGGTGTGAGGGATGCTTGACCAAAAGGTTCGGATTGGCGATTTCATGGGCTGTAGTGTTTGCAGTCATGAATCTGATCAACGCGAAGGGGACGCAGCAAGTCGTCTGCGTTGTGAAGGCCCGAATATTCTTGAAAGTGTTCTGGACTTGTTGACATGAAGCTGCCCTGCCCCCACTTGAGAAACAAATACAGCAATCACGTTCTGCCTGAGCCCAACCTCACCAAAAACAAACTGAGAATCAACATCCCCGATACTTACTCTCGCCGTGTGAATGGTGATCAATTCAAATTCGTCATCGAGACAAAGGGGAAGAAGGGGGCGCCGCTGGACCTGGCGGCACACAGCCATCGCGCAATCTGAACCTCTGAACGCGCACGACACGTTTGGTCATGTCACATTCAGCCAACTGTCCTACTCTGGAACTTTGAACAAGCTTGGGGGCTAGCTCTTCTACAAAACACCCCCTTTGGCAGGTGTCGAAATGTCCAAAACGTCCACTTGAGTTATTTTAACATGTAAACAAAAAAAAATACACACTTTTTTGGTTGGATCAAGACAATTCGTTCAAACCCCCGTGGGGCCAAGCTGTTGAACCAAATGGACGCGCGCCCCAAGAAGTGGCTGGCAGATGCCAGCTTAGAGACGGGACATGAATCGGCCGGCCAAATGGACAATAATCGGTCCATGGTGTGTAAAGCACAAGCCCCAATCCCATGCTTGTGGTCGATTCTTGATAGTTCTGGGCAACCCCCTCGATCAGCCACCCATCTTTTCATAGAACAACATGTTTAAAACCAACCAATGCTGTTAATCGGCTTGACAACTGTCAGAGCAAAGCAACTCACTGGTTGCCAGCCTTGGGACAACCACGCGCTGTCGTGTTACCCTCATCATCCACCCTGACACCGACCTGTGTGTTCCAACATCTTGCGGCAAAGACTTCTCATCGTTGCGAGACACACACCATCAGTACCGAGTGCTGCCGCATTTTCTTATCTTGCCTGGCCAGACCATCCCAAACGTCCGAGAGCTTAACCTAACCTCGTCATGTGGCAATCCCATCAGCGCACTACCGCACGCCCAGCTGCGTCTTGCGGTAGCTTGCCAGTGAACGCCAAGCCCATCATCAAGCCCAAGCCAAGCACGACCCTGGCCGACGTTGTGCGTCAAGCCTATATCAAAAACCACAAGCTAGCTGCGTCCAGCGACGCTAAACCCCTCTCGACCAAAAACCAGCGACTACGGGCCCCAACCAGCAACAACCCATACTTGTGCCGCATGGTACAGCAAAGTCGCTTCTGGCGTCAATTGCAAGGCATCTTTTTCGAGAACCCAAGCGAATGCAGCCTCTACGAAGCGATGACAGTGACCGAGTATGAGAAGCACCGCAACTCCAAGCTTCAACCGACAACGATGGCCCCATCAACAACAGCAACGACAACTCCTCGGGACACTCTACCGGCTCATTCCAAACAAAGCCCGAGCCCCAATACCGCTGCCAAGAATATTCCTGTTGCCGAAGACACGACAGACGCGATGCCAACCCGCATCTCCCACTTGCACACCTCTCCGACATGGCGCGCACCGCGTCTGGCTCGCCGCCACATGGCAACCTGTCACTCAATCATGAAGGCTCGTACCGTCAACAACCAATCTCAGAGCTACCTTCCCTCAAGCGTCCAAGTCTACCCCCAGCCCAAAAATGTCACCGTCGCGCCCCGCTCTGACGACTACAGCCAACCAGAGGCTTGTACCCACTTTGCCATTCAGAATCATGCTCGAGTTTCTGTTTTTTGAGATGTTTCGCCCCCCCCTTTTTTTTTCTTTTTTTTTTTCTTTTTTTGGTTTGACCTGGACAGCGGCAACGACAATATTCGAGAGCTGATCGAGCGTGCTCTGAAGTTTTCATGATAATTATGCTAATGAAAAATGAGTTTGAACCTCGTTCTCTTTGAAAGACAACGTTGGTTGGTCTAATCAAATTAGATCCTATGTGAAGTTGAAGCTAAATTGATTGACTTTGATGATCGTGGACGTTCATCTCTCTTGCACTTTCAAGGAGGTGATTGGCACAGACCACCAAGCACGCGGGCGGAGTACGGAGCCAAATCAAGTAGAAGGCAGAAACAAAGGGAGCCCAAGCTGCTGACAAACACGATCGACCGAGAACCGAAAAAGAAACGCTTCATGGAAGAAAACGGACGAGGCCAGAGGTCGCAACCTACGGCACACACACGCACACACACACATGCAGATGTTGCGAGGGGGTAGAAGAACTTGGAACGGTGCACTGCAACCCTTGCCCCTCCTTATCGGCTACTTTCTTCCAAGGGCATTTCACGATCGCGAGACTTGGATTGGACCAGCTCGCGCCTGATCTCCGGTGTAATCGCATAGTGGTTGTGTGACCGCAAGACATCAAGCAAAGCCCGCTTTTGCTCACTCGTAATATCCTCCTTGTACCTGTCACAGGTAAAGCAGGCAGGTCAATCAGCCGTTGTGCCGTGGTGTCATGGTGCCAAAAACAACAATGTCTCCGAAACCATCATCTACAAGTGCAGCCCTTCCCCCCCAGCCCCCAGTTTTTCGTACCGCTGAACAAAAACAAGGAGGCACTGATGCCAAAGCACGGGAAGCTGGCGATGATCTGCGTTGAATCGGTAAAAGTGTGCCACAACAGCATCCACCACACGGAAAGGCAAAGAATACTTCTTGTCCAGCAATACGCGCAGGAAGATGCTCGTGGCGCCTAATTGGAAGCAGACGGGATGGAAGTGACACAATCAGATGCGATAGAACAGTGCTGGTCTGACGAGCGGAGAGGATGGATCCTTAGTGCTTCAGCATGCTCGCAGCGAGCACATGCGGGCAGCAAACAAACACTGGCAGCAAATACATGCTGGCAGCGAGCGCGCGCGCACACACACACACACACATACACACCGGAATAGGGCATTTCCGCCATCTTGAGCATAGCCGCGCTCGAGTGCAAAACGGGAATGCTCTTGCGCACAAGAATGCCGCCGATAATGACAGCCTCGCGAAGCGTACAATCACCCGCCTAAAAGACCACAATGCCACACAAGGAGGTCGGGTGAGCAGCCGCACCCGAAGACCACCCACACACGCCCGGGTCACAATGGCTCCGACCTCGCAAAGTGGCAGCAAAAAGCCCTTGAAGAAAGCGCCAGGCTTGAAGATGGCCTTCTTGATGGCCTGGTACAGATGAAAGTTGAGACGCTTGTACTCGGCAATGTCGTCACGCACGCGTGGCAGCAGGATCAAATTGTAGAAGCTGCGATGATCAGAGGCGAAAGCGCGAGGAGGAAGAGGAGGAGCGGGGATCAGCAAGATGATGTGGTTCTGCTGATTATGCGAGGAGATGGTAGAGAAGCCTCTGCTCCGGACGCCAGGGGATCGCCTCTACAGGTGTGGGCCTTGACCCATGTAGGGACTTGCAATGCCGTGCAAAGGCTTACCGCTGTGCCATCTTCTCCTTGAGATTGGAGGCAAACAGGCGGGTGGCTGCATACATGGATGCAGCGGTCCAGTTTTCCGGCTCGGTGATGTACACAATCTGCGCCCATGTCGGCAAGATGGACAAGAGAAGGTAAGACCAAGCTGTGAGCCCACGAAAAGAAATCGAGCCGGCTTTGCTTGAGGCTTATGACACGGGAAAGGGAGACGTTGGCCTGAATAGGCGGGCTGCCAAAGCCATTAGGCAAAGCGTCACGCGTGAACAAACAAACCTCTTCCCAGTTTTTGAGGCGAGGGATGATTTTGAATGCCTTGGGTAGCTTGCCAGAGCGATAGCGAGAAAGGACTTGGCCCACGCTAAAACATAGAGAGCACGAACATGCATGATGAATTCGAAGAAACATTAGTTTGAGCAGGCATGTCGCAGACATGCAACTGGGTACAATAGGCAAGGCAAAGGAAGCATACCCTTGGTAGACCTCGATAACCTTGGGATTGAGCTCGCGGGGACCAGTTTCTATTGCAAATCGCGTCCAAGCATGAAGTCATGATAAACAATCGTCAACTAGGGGCCGGTCACGTGTGCCGGCAGGTGCAACGGGCGCGAGCTTTCGGCTCGGCCGGGTGAAACCTACGAGAGACTTGACTGGCGACCTCGGTGCGTTTGCCTTGGATCTTTTCCATAATGATATCTGCCAGCGTGCGGCGCTGGGCCGGCTCAGCCGGCATAAAGGCACGGAGCGCCACCTCGTCATGTTCGTCAATCTCAAAGTGGCGGTAGGCATCTTCGGGCTGGGCCAGGTCATCGGCCTGGCCCTCATCGTCAGACGGCACGTCAATATCCACGGGCTGTCCGGTTTGCTCGCTGTCCGACACGTCTTCTTCATTTTGCTGGAGCTGAGCTTGGCGAGCAATCACCTGGGCTTGTTTCTCGTTCAGAGGCTAAAGGATGATGCAAAACCACGAGAGTGCAAGGGCATGAACAGGAGCAGGAGCTGGACAATGGGGAGGACAATGGGGAGGACAATGGGGAGGAGGGTGGAGCGTCATCTCCTGAACATACCGCGTCCACGCTTTCGTCATCCTGCATGCGACCACGCTGCTTGCTGCGCTTGTTGCGGCGCACGCTCTTGTCATCCACATAGGCATGTTCGAGCGGCGCGTGGCGCAGCTTGGTGTTGCGCTTGGCCGACATCTTGACGGCACAGGCACTCGAACTCGGGCACACAAGACTTGAGACACGCGACCAGGCGCAGAGCCAGCAGACCCAAACCGCGTCGGTCCTACTCCACCAGCAACGATGTATCACACCGAGATGAGCCGACGGTCGCATCCAAACGTGCTTTCAAGCCCGCGCTCCCTCTTGCTTGCGGTTGACAACCAAGACCCCCCAATCATCAATAACACCAGCACCCACCGCCGTTTCCAAAGAGAGAGAATAGAAAACGAGCGCGCGTAACAGCGTTCAAACAACTCTCTCTCTCTCTCTGTATCACACGTGTGTGTGGGTTGATGCTACAAATGGCTGACAATGGGCGCGTGTGAGATGTCAGATGAAATGTGAAACCGGCTAAAGCTGTCAATGCCATGTTGGCTGGATTATGCAAACCACCATTATCACCATCAACAGGAACACGCGGTCACTTGAGCTGTCTCTCTCTGTCTCTCTCTCTCTCTCTCTCTCTGTCTCTCTCTCTCTCTCTCTCTCTGTCTCTCTCTCTCTCTCTCTCTCTCTCTCTGTCTCTCTCTCTCTCTCTCTCTCTCTGTCTCTCTCTCTCTCTCTCTCTCTCTGTCTCTCTCTCTCTCTCTCTGTC